CAACGGCACCCAAATTTGAGCACAAGGGCCTACAGCATTTTCGCCTGCATCGAAACTTCAGCTGCCGAAGGCGGGCTTTGATCCCGTGACCTGCGGGTCAGCAGCCCAGTACTTTAGTTACTAGACCAGCGCAGTGGGGCTTTGTGTTATAATGTTTCCAGAATAGTGTTCGTTAGCCAAGGATCAATGGGATGTCCGTAATTGTTGCGTTTATACACTATTATATATTTCCTAATGCACTGCTAACGCACTGGACAAGTGCTTCACATTGATCATACACATTGAGCATGACAAAGAAGTTACCCGAATTCGATTGCACCCCGAACCCAAATTTTCAGTATTTGCACCAATTGGGTTTTTCTTTAGCATGCAACCAACGTTGCCGACACCACCACAGAGCGCGACAGCACGTGAACACCAAAACCGAAACCCCAATGTTGGAAACATGGAATCATTTATAGTCACGTCGGTAGCCGAACCAGCACGTAGTTTACGCTTTACCTGTGTATCAGGAAACGTTTCTCAGTGCCTAATAGTCGTAAATTTGCGACAACAAAGTTATATATCTTACGTTGACGCCTGTACTGACAGCAGCGACAATAAAATGTACCTGAACAGAACTGATCTATCGCTGCACCAGAGATGTGTTAGCACTGAGTTTTCAGGCAAAATTAGTTTCTGCTCATTTTTTAATGTTTAACAGGGAAAGATCCATATACCTGAGGAGAAAAGCTGATTTTCATTTCCGTGCGTGAAGCAGATTGTCAATGAACTTTATTGATAGGGATCTCGAACGTAGTTTCAGCATCGTCGCAAAAGGCTGCCGATAAGTAGTCGACACTTCCGAGAATATGCGAGCTAAATAATACAGGCGCAGCACATGGGAGGAGGGGGAATAAACTTTAATATGAGAAACCAGCAGGTTTAGGTGGCCGGGCCAAAGCCTCCTATGAGGGGACGTCAAGGGCTTGCCTCGACGCTGCCTCACGGGCGTGCTGGGTCGCCCAGGTTCGGTCGTAAAGAGCGGGCCTCCGCAGAGCCTCATGGAGCTTCGACGAAAGGGTCGTGGCGTTAGTGTGTCTGTACTGTGCCGGGAAATCCCACAGCATGTGCGGAAGCGTAGCCAGGTGAGTGCCACAGCACCGGCAGTGGGAGGTTGTGTACACGTCCGGGAATATGAGGTGAAAGCGGGCAGGTGAGGAATACGTGTTTGTTTGAAGTAGACGCAAAGTGGTGGCTTGTGCCCAGTTGAGCTTGGGGCTCGGCGTATGAGGTAAAGGTTCTTAACCAGATCATTGTAGGTAGTGAGGTTTTCCCTGGTGTCCATCTCGTCTCTAGTAGCTCCAGTGCGGTTGACAAGGCCTCGCGCAAGAGAGTGGGTGACCTCGTTGAGTTTGGGGAGGCATGGGTAGACTGGGCCCGCGTGAGCGGGGATCCATGTCAGGGTGATCATGTTTTCTTTGGAGTGCGGTTCCTGGCAGAGGATGCAAAGCGCTTGAGGAGTAATGCAGCCTTTGTATAAATTAGTGACGGCTGAGTGAGAGTCGCATACGATGGTGTCACAGGTGGGATCTAGAGCGGCCAAGGCGAAGGCCACCTCTTCAGCCGTCTCGGCAGAGGATGTAGTGACCCTAGTTGCATGTCGTAGGACTCCATTGCGTGTGGCAACAGCTACAAAACGTGTGCCTTGAGGGTACTGAGCTGCGTCAACAAATGTGGTGCCAGGATCGTGGGCAAGGGCTTTTGTGATGGCTCTAGCGCGAGCTTGGCGTCGGGCTCCGCTGGTACTCAGGATGCATGTTTCTAGGGATCGGATCCGCGTGGATCGAGCTGCGGATGTTATGCGGAATTGATTGTTTGGGGCCCTGTTTCTGATGATACGTGAAGCCAAGCGTGGAGAGAATAGAACGTCCCGTTTCAGTGAGTGTGAGCCGTTCTAGCTGACTGCGTTGTTGAGCTTCGATGAGTTTTGAGAGGGTGTTGTGAACTCCCAGTTGATTGAAAAGTTCAGTGCGGGTGTAGTGCGGGAGGCCAAGTGCTTGCTTGTAGACCTTTCGTATGAGGGTATCGAGCTTGTTTTGTTCTGCACTATACCAGTTCAGATAAGCAGCAACGTAGGTGATGTGACCCAGGACAAAAGACTGCACGAGGCGGAGAAGGCTCTCTTCTTTCAGACCACTTCTTCGGTTGGGTATACGTTTGAGAAGACGAGAGGTATTGTGAGATTGAGCGGAGATCTTGCTGAGAGCCAAGCCGTTAGAGCCATTGGCTGATATAGTGAGACCGAGGACCCGGATACTAGAACGCGCGGGATAAGACTGCCATCTTGAAGGTGAAGGGTTATGGTGTCACAGGGTCTTTGCTCATGTACGTGTTTGGGGGGACGTCCCCGCTGAATGGGCTTGTAAAGAAGCAGCTCCGATTTAGTCCGTGAACAGCGCAGTCTGGTTCTTTGGAGATAGGCCTCAACTATGTCAGCCACCGTCTGCAGGGCTGTCTCCACTTGACCATCACTACCTTGGCACGCTCATATGGTGATGTCATCGGCGTAGATAGTATATTGGATATTGTCGACCTGTTGTGATTGCTGTGCAAGGCCAAGCATGACTAAGTTAAGAGCACGGGAGAGATGACTGAATTTTGCGGGGTGCCTACACTGCTTAGGGGAATCAGCGCTGATCGTAAATATCTGACCGAAAGGGTGGCCGTGCAGTTAGAGAGGAAGTCACGAATGTAATTGTAGGTTCGCTCTCCCAGGTAGAGGAGACGAACTCGTTCGACAATAGCAGCATGGGAAATATTGTCAAAAGCTTGACTAAGGTCAAGTCCGAGAATAGCTTTGGTGTTACAGGAACGATCGTTTAGAACTGGTGCTTAAGTTGAAGCATAGCGTTTTGTGCTGGCATGTGAGGTCGAAATTCAATGATGGTGTTGGGATAGATAAAGTTGCCTTCGAGGTAAGTACTGACACGTGCCAGGAAGGCACGTTCCATAACCTTGCCCACGCATGAAGTGAGGGAACTGGGTCTTAAGTTGTTGAGGCTAGATGGTTTGCCGGGCTTCGGAATTCAGATGACTTTCGCAGTTTTCCAGGCAGGCGGAAGGGAGCCATTGTGCCAGCAATTGTTGATGTAGTCAGTTAGATGGGACATGGATTCGTCATCTGGATTGCAAAGGATTTCGTTTGTGACCCCGTACGGGTCTGGAGGAGAGGGACCATTTAGCTTACAGAGGGCAGCATGTATTACGGATGTGCCAAATTCTGCGTCTAATGTACGGTTGCGGTTGCCGACGTAATTGCTGTGTGGACTGGCTTGTCCCCTAGAGATGTACCTGATGCAGAGATAGTCAAGCACATTTTGCTAGCCTTGCTTAAGGGTCTCCGTGTAAAGGAGTTTCTGCAGCCGATCCTGTTAGAAAGTGCGGGTGTTGGTAGCGTTGATTAGGTGTTTCAAGAGTTTCCACGAGGATGGGCGGTGAAGTTGCCCGTCCATCGTGTTGCACAGCTCGGTCCATTGTTGCCGGCTGAGCGTTTGACAGTGCTCCTCTATGGTTGTCTTGAGTTTAGAGATCTTGCATCTGAGGCGACGGTTTAGGCGCTGCCCCTTATACCGAGCTACAATAGAGGCCTTAGCCTCCAAAAGGTGGGCAAGGCGGCTATCCATGCGCTCAACCGGGACATCAGTGGTTATCATCCGAGTGGTTGTCTGGAGGTCAGTGCGTAGCGCTTGCGTCCAAGTGTCAATATTTGTGAAGCGCTCCGCTGACGTGACGCCACTGTGTAGCCTACGAAATGCATCCCAGTCGGTAAAGTAAACTCTTTGATGGGGGCAGGCGCAGCAACGAGAAGAGGTAGAGAGATAGCGATGAGGTAATGGTCACTCCCTAGGTCCTGTTGGGTGTTAGTCCAGTGTGCATTGCTGATTTGGTAGGTAAATGTGAGGTATAGAGTAGAGTCCCGGGTAGTGGAGGTACCAAGGCGAGTGGGAAAAGATGAATCTGTGATAAGCGTGAGGCCTAAGTTATGGTAATCTTGCCAGAGATTGCGAGCTGCAGCTTTCGTGTGAACATAGCCCCAACCAGTATGGGCAAGGTTAAGGTCGCCGCCGATCAGGAGAGGGTGCGTTCCAGCAACATGGAGGGCCTTCTTAAAGAGAGTGAAGAATCGACACTTTGCTTTGTTCTTGGGGCTATTGTAAACGTTTAAAGGATTATGCATTCTTTCCGTTTACGGTCGGGAATAAATTCGAGGAACAGGTGTTCGATGTGAGGGCTATGGAGGTCATGTTCAATAACGGGGATGCAACGCCATACTAGGGTGGAAACCCGGCGACGTGGGTGAGCTGTTCGAAATGTTTGATAACCGGGGAGTGTGGTAGTGGCATTGTTCGTTTCTTGGAGTAGAATAGCATCAGGGCGGCGACTATGTTGACGTAGGTATTGATTAAGGACCGATAGTTTCTGGTGAAATCCTCGGCAGTTCCACTGCCAAATGAGGGTGCCTTGGTTAGTGTGGGCCATGGGAGGAAACGGGGGGTGTTGCCATCGGCGTCCCAGAAGGGTCGCAGACAGGCGCAGCTTGGCCAGAAGGCGTAAGGATATGATTTTCTTAGTTCGTCACTCGTTGAACGATGCCCGTGAAAGCGTGCTAGATGGTGTCGAGCACCTGTTGGAAAGTACTCATAGTCGTTTGGAGCGCGATGAGCATGTCCTTCACCTCAGAGCGGACTTGGCCCGTGGCTCCATCTTGCAGAACTCTCCTTTAGGTGGCAGGAGTCAAAGAGGCCTTCTGACTATGGGTAGGGATGTCCTGAGCGGTAGATGTGGGAGTTGGCGTCTGAGTTTGTTTGAGGGTTTTAACCTCCTGCATCAGTTTGGTTAAAAGATCGCATAGGTTCGCGTTCTCGCGCTTGAGTTGAGACATTTCTGGGTTGGGTTGTCTGGCTAATGAGGAGGGGCGGTAGCTTGTGTGTTGTTTGCCTTACTACATTTTTGCGCAGTGCCCTTGAGGGTCTCTGCGAAGCTCACCTTGGTAGATTTCCTGCCTGATCCTGATGCGGATTGGGATCTTGAGCATTGTTGCCTGGACCGAGCTGGAGTTCTGGAGCGGGATCGCCTTTCTTTGTCCTGGTTGCGGGAATAAGATCTGGCTTTGCTGTCGACGGTGGAGAGACCGGCGTCTTGGTTGATAGCTTGGTTGTTGGCCTGTCGTTCTTCAATGCGCTTACGAATAACGTATAGAGTTTTATAACGAGCAGGACAGCTTTTCTCGGCAGTAAGATGAGGGCCGCCACAGAGAGAGCACTTAGGATCACAGTTGTAATCGACGGAAGAGTTGCGGGCACCACATGCTAGGCAAATCTTGTTCTTGGGGTAATGACAATCGTCCATGCGGTGTCCCAGACGGCCATACTAGTAGCAAATGTCGATTCGCTTCTAATGGAGCGAACATGGGAGTAACGTGGGTTCATAGCGGACCTGATAAGGCACGTCCTGGTCGTCACACGCGATAACTTGTAGTTGAGGCGATACGCTTGGCTGCCAGGGCCGTCGGGTTTCGAGCAGTGACGATATTGTTGTGGATCTGCTGGGGGGTCTTCGTGAGTGAGATCCCAAGGATGATCCCCTTGCTCGCGTGTTCATATGCGGTTTCGTAGGCATTCACGTTGTGGGTGACGCCGTTCACTTGGATGGAGCGAATGCGGGCGCACCGGTCTGCATGGTCCGGGTCAGGTGTGCTGACGACAACAATAGTTAGTTGTATATTCGGGCAGACGGTATCTTTTATGATTTCGTTATCAGAGAGTTTGGCTGCTTGGAGAATGGCTGCAGTCACCACGGAACTGCCTACCTTGGGGCGAATAACAATCTTGATGTCCTCCGTTGGAAGTGGTGGCATGCGGCCCGCCTTTAAAACTTGAGCTTTCACACGCTGTTTCGCTTGAGACCGGGGCTTGTTACTTGGGGCTTGAGATGATTCATTGGTATGGGTCGAGTTGTCAGTGCCGCGTAGTGAGCGGCGCGATCGAGCAGTGAGCCAGCCATACTCGGTGGTTACGTTTCTCGGTGAAACATCCTGGCCGGCGACCTGTATCTCCATAGCGAAGACGAAGGGGCAGGCTGACGATAGAGAGAGATGCAGATGACACGCGCCGAGGCGCGGCCGGCGCAGTCGTAGGCGAGATGACCTGCGAGCACACCTAGTTAACACGGCAGGGCCGTGGTGCGTGCAGTACGGCGTGGTTTTCTGGTAAATGAAAAGTCGCACCTGGGAGCGTAGGCCGTGAGGAGAGCAGGTTCCCAAGGTTTTCAAGGACGTTTCGGCTTGAAGCTGCAGTTCTCCGGGGCATCTCACGCAGCACATAGCATTTGTAAATATTTCTGAAAGTCAGCTGGAAATTACACACTCTTTCCTTACAAAATGAGCCCGTATACTCAGAGCGACTACGTCATAAAGTAAAAGTCCACGGTTTTTTGGCTGCTTTGAGCATCGTGAGCAATATAATTACCACGACCACTGAGACCATTGCCCCACCGCGGTGGTCTAGTGGCTAAGGTACTTCGCTGCTGACCCGCAGGTCGCGGGATCAAGTCTCGGCTGCGGCGGCTGCATTTCCGATGGAGGCGTAAATGTTGTAGACCCATGTACTCCGATTTGGGTGCACGTTAAAGAACCCCGGGCGGTCGAAATTTCCGGAGCCCTACACGACGGCGTCTCTCATGATCATATAATGGTTTTAAGAACGTTAAACACCACATATCAATCACTCAATCACTGAGACCATTCCCGCGTGTGCTCATGATCCCAGTTGAAGCATGCTGCGGGTTAGAAAAAAAAAGAAACCGTTCAAGGCCACGAGTAGATCCTTTGTATGTCACCCCCTCCTCTACCCCAGGACAGCTTTCTCCTCATTTGCTCGCACGTACGAAGCATAGCGCTAAAAGCATGTGACAAATTCATATAACCTAGCTCATGCTTTACGAGTTCTAAAGAACATTACAGCGAAAGCTGTTATGACATCAAAACAAGGGTCGCTTGCGGCGCAGTAGTTGTCCGCAGCCGTCACAGCCGGTGCCGATAACTACTATTGCACGAAATGAAAAAAAAATTACAGCACATCCACGGGGTTAATGATGACGAGGGGGTAGAAGCTTCGAAGGGATTTTATCGGTAAACCACGAATTATCCACTGGCCGCGTCCATCTGTCTGCCCGTCTAGTGAACACACCAAGTACCGCCATCTCGCATCTTTTCATCATATATTCATCATATAGAAGTAGCGCCATTCATAAGACATTCCGAGGACTAAAACGAGAGGTGGTTACCACATACAGGAGACTCATTACCCACGCCTTAAGGAGCTTCGCCCCTAAAAGACTTATTTACTAGTAAATAAAAGCACCAAGGACACAGCGAAATACGAGCCTGGTGCCCCTGTGTGCCAGCCCAGTATTCTACCACAGAGCCACGCCGGTGCCTGAAACTGTTGCAAACTTGCCTTAGGCAGGTTTTATGTCGGGAAAGGAATCGCTCTATTATGGGTAATGAAGCGTTTTAAATCATCAAAGGAACAACCATACGTCATAAAATGCAAAGTTGCCTTTCGAGTGGTTCCTCCAATGCTGAAAACCATAACAAAAGCTTGTACTTGATCACCTATAGGCTGTGTTACCCACTTGAGGCATTCTTCATTGTCGTCAGCCACCACATAAAATGTTCGCACAAAATTATTTGCAAGTGTGCAGCGGATACCAAGCTTCTCCGAAGAATGACGAAGTATAGAATAGGTAATGCTGGCCCACTACACAAAATATATGATTACTCAAGGCGTAAAGGTTACCCAGCAGGCGTGCTTGTAGCACTTATCCAAAGAGTGTTCAAAAACGCTCTGAAAGGCCGCTCTTCGAGCTTTCGCTGTCACTGTGCTGCGCATTCCACGCAGGCCTAGTGGTTTTTTCAGCATTTGATTCGCGGGCAATCGACCTATATTATGAATTCATTCGATGACTACTCAGAAAAGCGTTGCAGAGCCTATCTATCTATCTATCTATCTATCTATCTATCTATCTATCTATCTATCTATCTATCTATCTATCTATCTATCTATCTATCTATCTATCTATCTATCTATCTATCTATCTATCTATCTATCTATCTATCTATCTATCTATCTATCTATCTATCTATCTATCTATCTATCTATCTATCTATCTATCTATCTATCTATCTATCTATCTATCTATCTATCTATCTATCTATCTATCTATCTACGAGTGTGTGCTCTCGTCATCGCATCCCCACCTCGACTGTATACCCGGCATGCCAATAAGCTAAACTTCAAACATGATAATAAGCATCGAAAGTTTCGTAAGACCATCCGAATGACCTACACTGGAGAAGAACCTACTTTTATTCTAGATGGCGATATTATGTTGCTAACGTCCCTTAGGTAGCAGCGACGTAGTACATATCTTAACAACGGCGTCTATAGAGGCTAGTTAGTACTTCATTGCAATATTTGTGTGTAGCGCCGCGTACAAAATTGTAAGAAGTAGTTTAGAAAAAGAGGCGCACTCGCAACTGAGCGTTCATTTTTGCGTTCATTGCACATTTAAAGCCGAGAAACCAGGTGATACGATAGCACTGCCACGTTGTCAAACAAGATAAAAAATTTGGCAGATCCCACGTACCTGGAAATTGACGTTATGCGAAGCGTGCGGAGGGAACGTGACCGTGTTGTAATTTTCTTTATTCAGTGACGCGTCACGCAATGACGTAAATGTATGTACAAATGTTGCACGCACAGATATATGTTGAAGAGTTGCAAATGTTTGTCTAAGCATTTGTTTGCACTTGCGCAACCGTGTCAACTGTAACATGCGTATTAGTACCACCAGAAGCGGATATGAAGCACTGATGCTCGAGAGGATGCTGTTTCCTGGACACTACTACATAAATCAACTTCAGCGCACGGCAACTAACCACAATTGACGTTGACCCGACATGACGGCTGTATCAAAGGAGTACATATGTAATGTTTATAAAAAGGGGTAGGCAGCACTGCAACCTCTATTGACGTTTCACGAAGATTAGCGTCTATTTCAAAAGTAGTTCTGAGACCTGGCGTAGCTCTGTGGTATAATGCCTGACTGCCACGCAGAACGCTTGGATTTGATTCCTGCTGGGACCATGAAGTTTATTATTTACATTTGTCGGAGGGTCAATGCTATGTCAGGTCTTCTTCAACACTGACATTTATGCTATGCCTTCGTTGGTTCGACGCTACTGATGTCGGACATTGCTTAGCGCTCATGAGTTAAAATTATCCAAGTGTGTTCTCGTCGTTCCTGAGTAGATACTAAGTGTTTATCACCTGTGGCACATACCCGCACACGAGCGGCACATACCAGCCGATGGTTATGTGCCACTGTCTGGCGGTAGGTGTTGGACGACGTGTGCGACGGGATTGTGGCACTATTCATGTCTTGGGCAGCGTGTCATATTCGTCAAGCCATTTTACCCGACCATGCGAATTTTCGGCTCGCGCCAAATTAAGGGGGTGACCACGAGAGCATCCAAACGTAAGCGAATGGATAGATAGATAGATAGATAGATAGATAGATAGATAGATAGATAGATAGATAGATAGATAGATAGATAGATAGATAGATAGATACGCTCAAAGTCGCAGAAGTTCGCTAAGAAATGTAAAACCAAATAAACCGCCTACCACTCTAAGTGTCGAGATAGTCTGCTTCACAAGAAAACACGTGAACAGATGGTATACTGATGCAACTGCCGCAAAAAATTTTTTATTACAAACGCCTCAAATATTCCCCGCTCCTGTTTCCTTTTATATCTTCTTAGTGCTCATGTATGTGTAAGCGACTTACTGATGGCACATTTCAATGGGCGATTGCAAGAAAAGTTAGGTGATGTTGCTGTTGTACGTGTATTTCGATACGTGACTACCTTGTGCTTTTCCAGGCGGAAGGCAACTCTAGTCAAACTCCCTCAAGGTAGCTTCTTTATCTATCTGAGAAAACACTCGATGGCCTGACCCTGACTATGGAGCTGCCAAGTGAGCAACGTTTGAGAATCCTGGATTTAAAACTCACTTTTGCAGGGCACCACGTTTGTTG